ATATATAGTTGAATCAGTTTATGAAAGGGGGATTGTCAAAAAGTTATAGACAATGTGTATCATGAAAAAACTATGTACAGATTTCAAAATTTTTTTGCACCAAAATAAACTCATACTTTAATTCCCTTTTCCACAAACTGTTTGGAGTTCCCTTATACCTGAAAAGTGATAAGAGGACCAACAGGTGGTGTAGTGGTTAAGGCAGCTGGATCGCACATGTTCATCTGTGTGATTTGAGTCCCAGACCTGGTGGTCTGAAAACCACGCCAGACACGTGTACATGTGTGTCCAGAATCCCTTCTCCTCCATTCTCCTCTCAGGATTTTGAGGATGCAAGCATATGTGTTCAGTGTGATTTTCAAGCATTCTGGTCCAGGACTGGAACCATGGCCAGCCACGTGGGAGTCTAGTGCCTTAACCAACACACCACCTACTGGCCTCCCTCTCTAGGTAATTTTGACATGGCAGCAACAGCGGCAGCATTTTTCAATCACAGGTCCTTGGTCTGTTCCCTAGAAACCCTGGATGTCCCACTCCTACCATGACGACACGGGGCAGAGACTTGACCCAGCTGGACCAATCACATTCCCTCTCCCAGGAATCCGAATTAGGCCTCAGCAAGTGGGTGGGAAGAGGGGCAGATCTGCAGTGGCTGCGGCATGCCAGGCGGTCCAGGAAGGGAGAGGTGCCCAAGTGCACACACTTGTCCAGGCTCTTTCTATGGGCCGGCCCCAGGGCACCAAGGAGGACCTGCTCCCTTCCATGGACTTGGCCTTTGAGGGGTCTGGACCGGCCGAGGAGGTAGACAGACATTGGCATTGGCCCTGAGGGGCCCTGAGGGGCTCTGCCAGTACCAATGAGCGGCTTAGACAAGCACATCCCCCTTGGACCTCAGTTCCTCATCTAGAAAACAATGGAGGGGACTCTTCCAGCTTTACAGCCTATGGCTTCTGATGACAATAGCAGCCTGGTTGGAGGTTGGGAGGCAATTGTAATTTCCCAACTGTTAGGGGCTAACTGCCTGTGTCCCCACAGAGTTCATGTCAACACCCTAACCTCCAATGTGTCTGTGTTTGGGGATAAAAGTTAAGTGAGATCACAGGGACCAGCAGATGGCGTAATGGTCCCATCGCTGGGCTCCCATGTAGTCAACTGTGGTTTGAGTCCCGGATCCAGTGACTTAAAGCTCATGAAGGTATGTGTGCATGCCCACAGTCCTGGGAAGAGAATGGAGGAGAAGGGATTGTGGCATGGTCATTCTCCCTGGGAGGGTGATTCCTGGCTTTCTATCTCTCTGGTGAACACGCACGCCCTATACCAAAAAATCTCTAAAAAAAAAAAAAAAAAAAAAAAAGTTAAGTGAGATCAAAAGCATGGTCTTAACCTGAGAAGGCTCGTGTTCCTGTAAGGAAAGAGACGTTGGGTCTCGCTCTGCCCCATGTGAGGGAACAGTGAGCGGGCACCCCTCTTCCAGTCAGGAAGAGAGCCCTCACCGGGACCCGAACCAACCAACACCTTCATCTCGGACTTCCAGCCTCCAGATCTTCGGGAAAACGAATCCCGGTACGGCTGTGTGTGCACGAGCCCAAATTCCTAGAGGAGAATGGAGAGGGTTGGCTTGGAGCCGTACCCCTGGAGCGGGTACTTTCTCATTTTCTTTCTCTCTCTCTTTTTCTCTTTCTGGTAAGAACATGAACTGTATAATAAATTAAAAAAAAAAAAAAAAAAAAAAAAAAAAAAAAAAAAAAAAAAAAAAAGAGGCAAAGAAAATTAATCTCTGTTGTTTAAGCCGCCCAGTCTGTGGTATTTTGCGACATCAGCCCAAGCCAACTGAAGACACCATCTCTTTCTCAAAATTGAGCAGAAGAGACTCTGTTTTTGCCCCCCCCCCTTAATGTAAAACTCGGGGGGAAACTTTCTCTTAAGTTTATTTATTCCAAGAGACAGAGAGAGAGACGTATCCCCAACAGGGTCTTCACTTCTCAGCCCCACTCCCAGTCTCAGCTTGCCCAGACCACGGCAGACACACACACCTGTGTGTTCAGGGGGTCTCAGAATTGAACCCAGGACCTTACCCATGTGAATCCAGTCTCACTGCCCCTGCACCACCACCCGGACCCTCGAAGGGGCTCTGACTCGGTATTTGTCCAGTGGTACCTCCTGGAAGCCATGCCACGGTACATAGCCTGCTTACAAAGACAGCAGCCCAGGCTTCCAAGAGCAGAAAGGTCCTTTTGGAAACCTGAACCCTGCCCTGCTCCAGTGCTCGGCCACCACGCTGCCACGGTCCACATGCCCTATGCTCAGAGTGGTGGCCCAGCCTCTGCCTGTAGGCACAAGCCTGCTGCCTTCCCAATGAGCAGAGGAAGCCACCTGTAAATGGGTACCCCGTGATGTGTCACGACTGGCCTGACAACCACCTGGCCACGGAGGACTGGGCCCCTCCTGAGCCTCTCTCCCAGGCCTCCTGCGGTGATGCGTGATACGTGGTAAGTGCCAGACGCTGACACCTGTGGAGCCCAGGGCTGGGGGGCGCTGGCCCAGCCCCCTCCCCAAACCAGGCTGCAGTCAGGCCTGATGTTCACAGGACCTCCTTCTCCCTTCCTTCATCTCAGGCGACCCTACCTCCCTAAACTCATAAAATGCTGTTTTATTACTTTGTTTTCATTCGTGCAAGAAGACCACCATGTTCACTAAGATAGGAGACAGAGATAGCAAAGCAGGCCTCAGTTTTGTTTGTCTATTTTAATAATGAACACATAGTTTCCGAAAATCCAGGTTTTTTATGTTTTTGTTTTTTAATGTCCCAGCCTCCCTTTATAGTTCTTTTTCTTAAGCCTACCTCGAGTTCTGTGCCCTTTGGAGTTACCCTCTGAAAAGCCTTAAAAACAAAACAAAACAAAACAAAACTGGGGACCAGCAGATGGCATAATGGCTGTTGCTGGACTCCCATGTAGTTGACCACAGTTCAAGTCCCAGACCCGGTAGCTTAAAAATCATGCTGGGCACATGTGTGTACGTATCCAAGATCCCGAGAGAAGAATGGAGGAGAAGGGACTGAGGCATGGCCATCCCCCTGAGGGGGTGATTTCTCACTTTCTGTCTCTCTGTCTCTCTCTCTCTGTTCAGCTCGCACCCTATAGCAAAAATCTCTCTCTCAAAAAAAAAAAAAAAAAAAAAGGAGGAGGGGGGAACAGCAGGTGGTGCAGTGGTTAAGATATTGAATTCCTGGGCCAGTTAGCAGATGGTGTGGTGGTTATGACACTGGACTCCTACATGGCTGACTGTGGTTCAAGTCCCAGACCTGGTGGCTTGCTCTCTCACTTTCCTTTTCTCTCTCTCTCTCTCTGTCTCTTTCTGGTGAGCAGACATGTCCTATAGCAAACTCAAAATAATAATAATAATAATAAATTATATTAATACATTTTTTAAAAAGATATTGAATTCCCACATGGTCGATCATGGTTCAAGTCCCAGACCTGGCAGCTTGAGAATCACACCAGGCGTGTGTGTGCTTGTGCAAAATCCTGAGACTGGAGGAGAAAAGATTGCAGCTGGCTGTTCCCACTGGGGGTGTGGACTTCTCACCTTCCTTCTCTCTATCTCTCTGTCTCTGTCCAGCTACCCACATGCCCTGTGTCAAAAACTTAAAAGAAAAAGTGTCTCAAAGAAAAAGAAAGAAAGAAAAAGAAAAAAAGTGTCTCTCCTCTCTCTCGGCTTTTGTGATCATGGCTCTGGACTTTAGTCAGACCCTCCCTTTCTCCCACAGCGACCATGACGCTGTTCACTCCCTCCACACCGTCTGCACCAGAGGAGCTCCAGAGAAGCAGGCCTGTCTGGCAGCAGCCTGTGGACACTCCCACCCAGTGGGTCTTCACCCCACAGGCCAGACTGATCCCAACGTCCCTTCTCCAAACCAGCATCTGCTCCTGGTCCCTTGTCTCCCCAAGGGGCCTGGCCCTGTGTCCGGTCATTGGGGCTGTCAAATGTGGGCCCCCCTGCTCCTTGATCTGGAGTCACCCAGCCTAGCACGTGGCCCTCCACTGTCACCTGATCTGCGCCCTCTTAGCGCACCCAGTCATGCCCTCGCTTCTTGCCTGGATTTGTCCAAGTTCAGTCCCACAATGAACTACCAGCCGGGGAACTTGGGCAAGGGACTCTCCTCCGCCGCGGAGATATTTTCACCTAAAAAATGGGGAAAGTGATGCTTTCTGCTTTCTAATGAGGTAAAGGTAACCCACGGGGACAGGTACCGATATGTCATATGTCACCGCAGAGTGCTCAGCCCATGCCAAACAAATGCTAATCCAGCTCCCCACACCCCTCCATGCTCCCTCAGCCCCGTTCTCCATCTCCGTACACCGTTTATCCCCAGATCAAACCCGAGTTCTAGAGACATAGCTCGCAACACACCCTGCAATGTTCTGCCTCCAACAATCCAGCGGCAGAGGTGATACGCGTCTTTTCGAAACTCCTTAAGCCAAGTTGACATTGTATAAAATGATCTGGTTGTTTTGCTTTATCTAAAGTATTCACATCAGGTGAATACCTGAATTTTTAAAAATAATTATAATTTCTGAAAGCTTGTCTCAGGAAGTTTTTATAAAACAAAGCAAAAAGAACTCATTCCTGCCAGGCATGATCCTTCCTTCCCACTCTGCTTTTGGGAGGATTTGCAATTCAAATTGAAAATAAACTTTCTTTTCACAGGGCAAACACATTCCCTCTAGCAATTAAACTCATTTTTTGGCTAAATCCCCTGGGGTGTGGTGTGGGGGAACTATATCATTACATTTTAAATGTGCAACAATTTGAGGGGCAGCAGGTGGCGTGGTGGTTCAGGTGCTGAACTGCCACATGGTCTACTGTGGTTTGAATCCCGGACCTGGCAGCTCACTGTTGCACTTTCCCTCTCCCTCTCCCTCCCTCTCTCTCTCTCTCTCTCTCTCTCTGTCTTCCTCTGGTCAAATTTTTAAAAGAATAATAAATAAAATTAAGCAGTTCTTTAAAAAAAAAAAGTGTAACAGTTTAATAAGAAAATGCTATTGATCTCTTTTCTCTTTCATATTCTTTCCCATTCTCTCTCTCTCTTTTAATTTTGGAGGGAGAGGGAGAGGAAGAGAGCATCTCCCCCGGGAATGTCACACCACAATCCCTCCTCCACTTTTCCACTCAGTCAGGATTTGGGGTGCACACACACATGTTCCAGGTGTTTTTCAAGCCACTACATCTGGGATTTGAACCACAGAGTGATCCAGGAGGGATCCAGCTGCCTTAGCCACCAGGGCATGGAGCCAGCCCTTCATTATCTCTTAATGATGGAAATTTTGAACTCCACAATCTAAGACCTCTCTCTCTCTCTCTCTCTCTCTCTCTCTCTCTCTTTCTCTCTCTCTCTCACACACACACCCCTCCTTTGTCTTTTAGATTTCTTTCCAAAAAAACTGCACAGATAACATTAGATTAGATTTAATTTAAATTATTTTGGCTGGTACCTAGAGTCAGATCCTCAGTATCAATATGAAACAGAAAACTGAAACATAACCCATAACTTTGACTGAATTATCTGATAATTGCCTGAATTTCTATTACCACCCCCCCCCATGAGAACTGCTTCCAGATTAATACAGAAGAACAAGCAGATTGGCATGTTGATGAGTCCCGGGGCATTGGCTCTGGAGCACTGAGCTGCATGTGTGGAGGCAGACCGTCTGAATCTGATCCCTGACATGTCCCCTTCCAGTTGAGGGACCCTGAGTGAGTTGCTAATATCTGAGTTTCAGTTTTCTCACTTGGAGTTTGATAAGCTAAAAAGTATATTGGGCCAGCAGGTGGCACGGTAGTTAAGGTGCTAGGCTCCCACATTGCTCACTGCAGTTTGAGCCCTGGGACCTGGTGGCTTGAAAATCACTCCACATGTGCATGTGCACGTGTGTCCAAAGTCCCTAGAGGAGAATGGATTACGGTGTGGCCATCCCCCGTGGGAGGTGATTTCTCACTTCCCCTCTCTCTGTCTCTCTCTGGAGAGCTAACACACCCTATGGCAAAACCCTAAAAATAAGTAAACAAAAAAGGCGTGCTGAGTCGGAATGTGGAAATCAAAAAGAACTTTATTTGGGTGTGAGTTTGCGGACTGCACCAGAATGCAGACCAGATGAGTGTGATTCAGGTAGTGTCAAACGTGCTTACCGAAGCTTACAATCCCCCCACAGGTTGTAAAGGCAAAATTTGCAAGCGGGAGGGGTGTGGGAGGGGGTTATACCTGCTGATTTGGGACAATTAGCTTTGGCTACCAGGATCAATAACAAGAGTGGTGGTCTCTGGGCAGACGTCCTTGAAGAAGCCGTCCTTGTGTCAGTGGTCTTTGTGCAAGGCTCTGATTCTGGCCCAGTTCTCCAAGTAATAGTTTAGCTGGGCCTACTGGTGGCATGGTGATTAAGACAGCTGGATCTCACGTGGCCTTCTATGCATTTGGAGTCCTGGACCTGGCAGCTTAAAAACACGCTGGGTGCATGTGCATGCATGCCCAACATCCTGCGAGGGGAGTAGAGAAGGAGGGACTATAGCGTGGCCATCTGCCCAGAGGGTGCTTTCTCACAACCCCCCAGCTCCACGACAACGCTTTCTCTCCCTGGCAAGGGCACATGCCCTACAGCAAAATGTTTACAAGATTAAAAAGTATTGCTATCCACAAGCTTGCATGAGCAAACGCCTCCTCAGCGGCCTTCCCACATCTGTTTTAGTGAGGGCTGACACAGATGACTCCATTTTGATTCTGAAAAATGCCCACAGCGTGTGGTGAGAACGAAAAGGCTTAGCTCAGGTAGAGCAGCATGTCCCTGGCACCCCTACACGGTCAGAGCAGGGAGGAGCCCTTAGCTTTCCAGGCAAAAGCAGCACTAGCTCCAGGCACTACACACCTGGAGGTGGAATCTATAGTGGAAATATTAGAACTTTGCACTTGGATGACTTGGGTTCAAACCTTGGCTATTCCACTTGCTCGCTGTGTGACTCCGGGCAAGTTATGCAGCTGTTGCACACCTCGGTGGCTCCATTTTCTTTTTTAAAGATTTTATTTAACTTTATTTGTTTATTTATTTTAATTTGACCAGAGAGGGACAGAGTGAGAGTGAGGGAGAGAGAAAGTGAGAAAGCAAGCCACCAGGTCCCATTAGCTAAGTCCCTCTGCTACTTATTCTCCCTATTCAACAGTATGTCACAGCCAGCTCTCAAGGTCAATGACTGTCCGTTGTGCTCACTCCACTACGGCCACCCCCACAAACCACAGTTGGCCATGTGGGAGTCCAGCGCCCTCAACCACCACACCACCTGCCCTCCCAGTGGCTCCATTGTCAAACAGGCATTAAAACTTGTATCTGGGGCCAGCAGGTGAAGTGGTAGTTAAGGTGCTGGATCCCACATAGCAAGTTCACGGTTCAAGTCCTAGACCCAGTGGCTTGAAAAACATTCTGGGCAATGTGTGTGTGTGTGGCCCAGCCCCAGGAGGAGAAGGGGTTGCAGCAGGCGGTGCTTTCTCACTTTCCCTCTCTTCCTCTCTCTCTCCATCTCTCTCTGGCAAGCACATGAGCCCTATTGCAAAAATAAATAAATAACTAATTCTAAAAAATAAACAAAAATTGTATCTGCATCATGTATATTGTATGCACATGAAATGAGATAATGTAAAATACTTAACATTTATACTAAATTACTATTTACTACAAATTTTGGCTATTTTTCCTTTTGTACGCTACAAAAATAAAGTTGATCGGCTCTGAGCTGCTTCCCCAAACACATGGAGTTTTCCAAAAGGGTAGAGTCATAAGATTTTTCCACTTTAGTTGTTGATTAGGGACCAAACAGTATTACCGTACTCCCCTATTAGGGTATAGTAATACCGCCTAGGGGGGCAGGGAGGTCAGACATCCCCTCTCCTTCAATTGGCACATGACTTGGGCTCAATCGGATGCTCACAACTAGCAACTCGGACATCGTTCCCAAAAGGGAAGAGAAGGCAGGACGGAGGGGAGAGTAGAGACGGAAAGGTTGGGTTGAGACGGAAAACATCCCATCTCCGTAATGTCATTTCCACCATCGCGCCTCTGCTTTTTCTCTCTCCTAAAATTCTCAATTACAAAGCAACACGTATTCTTTACAACCAGAAGACACGTATACAAAGGTACTCAGAAAAATGGGACTAATCTCCTTGAAGAGTCCCCTCAATTCTTCCCCCCATTAGCTAAGTCCCTCTGCTACTTCTTCCCCCCATTCGCTAAGTCCCTCTTCTACTGATTGTCCCTATTCAGCAATATGTCGAACCAACTCTCAAGGCCAATGGCTGTCTACTGTGCTCACTCCACTACGGCTACATCATTTCTCACAATAGCAAGGCACCAGCTCATTTCTCTATTAGATATCCATTACAGTTATAAACGTACATCCCATTAACCCAGCAACCACACTTTCAGAACCAGCCCTGCAGAGATAAAGCACTAGTTGTATTATAAAGTTGCACATTCAAGGGTATTTACTGTGTATCGCTTGGAGTGTCGAAACCTGGAAACAACCTAAGTACCCAGGAGTCTCCCTTTATCTGTGTTGTTTATTGCATTTTGATTGAGGAGGTGGAAACTTTCAACTGTAAAAAGTGTTCGTGAAAACCACCGCTCAAACCCAAGTGAGAGATGGGACTTCCAACAATTAACTGTTGAATGTCTCTCCTTTTGGGGGTTGGATGGAGGCAGAAAGAAAAGGTCAGATTATCATAGCAGATTGCCAGAGACGAAATGGGTTATTGCTGGTGAATTGTTCCCATAGAACAGAACATCGGAATCCTTACAGAGCCCAAAACCAGGTTTTGCTTCTATCCAGAGATTCCCAAAGCTTACGTGTGTAAGATTCACCTGGGCCTGATTAAACCGCAGATTGATGCAGTAGGTCGCGGTGGAGATGCTCCAACTCTCAACCAACTGATACAAATGGACCACACTTCAAATTGGGACCAAATCCATTCACATCTGCTGTCTGAATCTCAGGCCTATCCAATTTTCACACTGAAAGTTTCCAGTCCCAAGAAACCTGAGTCCCAGATAAACCAGGACAGGTGGGCAGCCCAGTGACTGGATTAACTCAAGGTCAAATGCCTCAGAGGCCTGAAAACGAATGTAAATGAATGTAATTAGTGGGTTGGAAACTTTGGCAAACCTAAGAGCCTAAACACTCACTCACTAAGGCTCTCCTCCAGAGTCTCCAGCTTGCAACTTTGGCTCAGGTGACCCTTAGACTCCATCCTACCGAGAACTTCCATAACACGTTTTTTCCCCCAATGGCAGTGGGAAGCATCCCTAGGTAATAAGTCACAGTGCAAATACTAGAAGTCAGGGGCTGCGAAGAGCAAGATGAAAATGCTTTAAAGGCAGGAAGAGTCCACACACCCACATGGGGCTCTCTCCTGTACTGGACACGGCTTACCTGTGTTATCAGCAGCACACTGTGGACACGAGGAAGTGTGACTTCCAAGGCGAGGTCCTAAAGGACGTTGGGGTCTCTCTCTTGCTGACTTTTTGGGTTACTTGCTCTGGGGGAAGCCAGCTCCATGCCATAAGGATACTCGAGCAGTCCTATGGAGAGAATCACACAGTGAAGTGCTGAGGCCTCCAGCCAACAGCCACACAAGTGAACTCTCTCAGCAGCAGATCCTCCAGCCCAAGACCCAGCCCTCAAAGACTGCAACCCAGGCCAACATCTTAACTACAATTTAGGAGAGATTCTG